TCTCACATCACATCACAGCCCAGGAAATGGGAAATAATGAGAGGAAGACTGCATTAATCAGTGGACAAGTCTATCAAAGTGGAAAGCAAATGGATAATGAAAGAACCAAGAATGTGAACATCTACAGAAAAACTCCAAAGCAGTGCCTGTTAGAAAAATTTATCATCAACTAAGTTTTACAAATAATCACAGAAGCAGGTAAGCAGATGGGGATGATGAATCTGGAGGGGGGAAATAACCCAAAGAACAAACCGAAACGAAAACCCAAGCGGATACTCTTTCTACATCACATCTTAATAGCCAGTATCTTACACCCCATGGCAAAGCAGGCTGGCACAACAACATGCCTGATTTCCTTATGGGGTCATGCACTGGATAACTCTGGGTCTTGTAACTCTTATGCTTACTCCACCTCCCAAGGGCTAAGCATGGAAGAAGTGCAACCTCTGCAAATGGATAAACCACTGCAAATTTGCAGTGTTATTTCAGTATTATCACTAGAAACTGCTGCTTTTGTATTTTAGAACTTTTATAGAATGAAAGAAAAAGAGTATTTTTTTCTGAAAGCTTTAAAAGTTAGAATTTTTCCTCTCGGAGTTACTTTGAATATATTTGCATTATTACCAGAAAATCCAAAGTAACACACATAATTACTACCTCCAGTAAGGAACTACTATTATTTTGCTGCCTCCCTGTCAAGAACCACCTTGTTCCCTTGCTATTTGCACAACTGATTTCATAGTCTGTCATCAGTCCCCGTGAATGTTGACACAATGATGCAAACAACCAACTTGGAGTAAGCCTGCGTGTCAAAAGAAGAAACCAATCATTTTGTATTTGGGAGCTGAAGTCTTGGTAAAGAATATAGAACAGAAAGGTCTGGTTTGGTTTAAGGCAAAATACTCATTTCTTTCTTCCTTGATGTTCAATTACAACTGTCAGCTAGTCTGGAGTAAAGCAAACCCTGTTCTTTTAATGTGTTTTCAGCTGGCAGACAGCATTTTACAGAACGGGACATAAGCGAGAGTCTAGCCAGTAAAACGCTAGGTTTAGTTAATGGCTAATCTGGCATTTGTTCAACTGTGTACTTCAAACAGCAAGACAGAGAAGGTGCATAAAAAGAAAAAAATATGAAGCTCTATCTTCACCACCTCATTTATGTGCCTGATGGAAATGATAGCCTATCAGAAGTGTCAGTATTCTAGTGAAAGCTGGCATGTAAATATTTATGCATTATGCAAGATAGTCAAGCCCTGGCTGGCTGTCCTTTCCCATATTTCTAGCAATAACAGAAACTCTGGTGCAGATAAGAAAAAGCTAAAAAGCTTTACATCACATAATTTAAAACAATTTTAAATGGTCATTAATATGAACCTGAACATGCAAAATGCTAAATGCTTCTAAGGTTAGAGTGACCTTAATTATCTGGGAATAAAAAGTACACTGTGCTACCCAGAAGGACATGGCTTCTTGCCAGATTACCAAGGAAACTATACATGAAGTTTTAACATTATATATAATCCATGGCTCGTGTTGCAATAAATCTTGGTGCTTTGTTTTGCTTTTATGGAAACACAAAAATCAGATTATACATAGTGTGCCTGACTGATTTTTAAATAGGTTTTTTCCCCATCAACTACACCTGCTTTCAGTTCCTTGTCCAGATAGCAAAATCTGTTGGTAGCAAGTGAAAAATATTTCTATCTGAACATGATGAATGGACCTTGGTACATGAGCTTAGAGGCATCCAGCAAGTTCCTAGCATTGCAGGCTTGCCAGCACATCTGATGCTCGCTGACAACTGTGTGAACAGTTCCACTGCCAAACAGAGAAGTGGTAGTAGAGAGTTTTTCCCCTCCCTAGGGATGGTCACCATCAGCTGGCAGAGGCAAACTGGTGAGACACACAGAGCTACTGCCTGTGCTATAGGATCTCTGTGGAGAAGTAAGGCAGCTGCTTCCAGGGCTGGATTTCTTTGAATTGCACTCAGCCTAAAAACTAAGGTCTGACAACCCAATTTACACAGCCAAATGTCCTACATTGCCCAGAGGAATTCTTTACACACCTTCAGAGGCCAATAAACAGGTTAATAATTTCTGAATTTGATTATTACACTGTCAAGACCAGAGCAGAATGTGCTTCAGGATGTCATAAGAAACCAGGATTAAGACAACAGCCGGCATGTTCTTCCCCAATGTCAGTGCTATCAATATAACACAACACATCCTAATTATCATGACACCTCACCAGGACAACCACAATTAACAGGGCTGAGCCCAATGCTGCTCATCATGTAAGACTCTGAGGGTGGGGCAGGTATGTGCTGTGAGAAGACACAGCTGTATCATATCCCTTCTATCAGGAGGCAAGACAGTCATGTTCTTGTCTCTATCACCTGATTCATATGTCTTCAAGAACAATGTCTATAAAATAGCTGAGCAGCAGTCCTCCCCATTAAAGTGAATAAATAATGAGAATAATCCTTCTTACCAACAGGAGCCTAAGATAAAATCTGGATATTTTTTTTAGATGGTATGGTGTCAGTCTTCAAACTGGCTAATAAGTTCACAAAACATCTATTTCCCCTCAGGTATTGTTTGTAAAAGCAGAACACAAGCTAAAGATATGTCTAGTATTCTTTTAGACATTAAACATGAAAAAAATCAGCCAACTGAATAATAAGCAACATTTAGTAAGCAATTAAATAGTGACATAAGCTCTAGCCCCTAAACTTTTTAATTTACTGCTGTGCTGTTTCTTATCTCTCTTCTGCTGAGGACTCAAAGCTGGAAAAATACTCTAGATGCAACCTCAGAGATGTCAAGTCAAGAAAAATAATCAGTACTACCCCATCCTACACAGGGAGCACTTGCCAACCATGGGAACTTGCATGGCCCTTTCTACAGCTCCTTTCTAGCCCACCTCTGTCAAGACTGCACTGAGACAGTTACTTCTTTACAGGTGCCCAACTTTGTACCTCTCTTTCTTGTTGAACTTCATGAGGCTTAAGTCATCCTACTCCTTCAAGCTCTGAATGACAGCCCTGCATTCACCTGACAATGACAGCTGGGCCTGAATAAGGCTGTGTCCCATACCATCACCTATGTTACCCATGAACATATTATAATGTCTCAGGTACAGTACCAAACCCTGAGGACCACCATCTGTAAATAGGTACCAGTTAAATCTCAATCAGCTTTTAAATCTAACCAAATAAGCCAGTTTTTCACCTACCTTTTAGCCCACAAATCTAGTCTCTATTCTCATTAAGGATATTTTCCTCCCCATATTTACCACACTTCTTCCAATTTCTCCTTAAAATACTGAAGTCTATACTGAAAGCAAGATAAAGGACAATAACTGCTCTCCCTTCCTCCACAGACGCACTTATTTCATCACTGAGGCAATGAAATGGGTAAAGTATGATCTGTCCATAGTACATCCATAGTAGTTATTCCCAAGCACATGCACCAGTTTCCATTTCTCAACAAGCTTTTCTTCTCTCAATTCCATTTCTGCATATCCAGAAAATGCCTCTATTCTGCTCTTTAATAATCTATCCCCCTCTTCTGCCTCTTTTAGTTTGAAGTCAGGAGTCCTCTGCTCAAATTGGCCTCCTGTTATGCTTGCTTGTTATCTTGCACAGTGGCCATAGTTCTTGTAGTTTGAGGAAGTTTCTCCTGGAAATCAACTAGATCTCCTGAATTCCTCCACACTTCAGGGCAGCCTCACACATGATCCTGCGGCCAGTTTCCCAACCAAGCCAAAGACAACTCTTCTAACTTCTAGGATTTTTTTATTTTCTTATTTTCCACCCTACTTTCTTCAGGGGCTTAAACTCTGAGCATTTCACAGCTAGTGCAACTAAGGCTTCCACTGTCAGATGCCAAACAAGTTTCTATTTACGCTTGAGAAGTAAATTCAGCAGAATGATTCACCTAAATATATCTCTCACTACCAACATCAAAAACCTGTCTCAGACACACTCCAGAAATCTCATAGATTTTTTTATGCTCCGTTGCGTTGCCCTAGGTAATTGAAGTGCATTTACAAACTCTTATCTTTAGCTCCCTCCCATTTTTTACAGACTCACATAAACAAACAATCCTCAGCTCTGCTGAGCACCAGTATGTCATAAAAATGCCCAAGATTCTTGATGTTACTGGGATGAATTTTAGCCTGAGAAATCCTTTGGATAAACTGTGATTCCTTGTATCAAAGCATGGATCAGAAATACTATTTTGTGGCCAATGTGACAGGCTCCAATGAACACCAAAAGCACAATGCAACAGGAAACAAAGCTGAACAAAGTTGGCAAATTCCTACAAACCCGTAAAATGAAAAAGAGGACTGTCTTGTGAGTAATTCATTAGCAGAAAGAAACCACATATGTTTTCAGCAAATAGTTTAAGCAATTCTACTCTTCCCTTCTTTGGAATAAGCTTCAATTTACCTATTCCTTGTATTAAATCAGTCCGCAGGAGCACAAATCAAAGTACAAAAAGGAACGTATAATCTTATGTTTAATTATTACGACCTATTTATTGCACATAAATCTTAGGATTAGAAAATTGGCCAACAAAGCACCATGTTGCTCCAACAGAACTAAGTGCTGTCAGCTTTAACAAAAATCAGATAAATCCACACATGTTGTGGTCCAGAGCTGGAGGAATACTGCTCTACCAGTATAAAGAGACTGCAGTTCAGGTGAACCTATTTGGTAGGATGTAACAGCAGGAGTCCTGATTCACTAAGGCTCTGTAAGAGCTCTCAAAGCAGTTCTAAAGCTGATGAAAAGGTAACTGACATTTGACATATTAACACAGAAAGGGAGATTTGCTAAAGCTGCCATAAAATAAGCTGTATTGTTGAGCTTACAGTCATCCCCACAGAATTATGCTGTACACTTGAAAGAAATTGAGGAAAGAGAATCAACGCACAGTCTGTAATCCTAAAAAAAAAAAAAATGCAAAGCTATTTATTTAAAGCTTCATCACTACCTGGTCCAGTGGAACTTCCACAAGAGTATCTTCATCTTCTTGCACTTCAACTGCCCCCCACATTTCAGACCCCTCTTCTCTGGCTTTGTAAATATCTTCACCTATAATGGGAAAGATAGAGTGTAAGGAAGTGAAGTCCAATGGTGACACAGTGTGGCTCAACTACTGAACTGCACATTCAATTTTGCTTCTAAGAAAAGCTTTCTGAGCTGACCCATCATTCCCCATACAGTTCTTTCAAGGAAGTCTTCAGTCTCACATTATTATCAATTTGTTTTTCTTTCCTTTTAACAACAAATACTTACATAGTACACCACGTGGGGAAGGGGGCAAAAAAGAAAGGGAACTGAACAAAGTGCTGAATCTGAAGTTCCTTCACTTTGGGCAAAGATCCAGAGCGAATCTGAACTAGATACATTACAACAACAACATAATACTTAACGTTTCTACAGTCAATTACAGTATCCTTTAGTAATGAGCATTGTAATAACATACATCTATCAAAAATTTCAGTCACTGAATCAAAAACAAACATGCTGAATCAGGTCAGGGTTAAAAGATTAAGAGCAACAGTTGGATTAGTTCTACTCCTCAACTCTGGGCACATGCAAGTAGCACAAACAGCTGAAACTCCACAGAAGCATTAAAAAGCAGGTACTCCTGGACAACGAAGATTAACAGTTGCATTGGTATTCAATTTTGCAAAGATCTTATACCATTTAGTTTTAGTAATTCCTTTCCTCTACGTGTAAGGAATAACTAGGGGTCTCTGAAGTTTCCAACACAGGCCTTACAGTATCAGCTAATTAGAAAAGGGAAGATAGGTACATATGGAAAAAAATTTCCAAGTGATGCACAATCCTCTCTTTTTTCCCCTGAACTGAAAACAGCCCAGAAAATAAAGGCACAGGTTACTCCAAATCATCTCTCTCCACTGATCAAGGAAATATGAATATGTGCCCATATCCAATGTAATATGTAAGTACAGTAAGAAAGATGAAAAAGTGTTTCCACTATTTCTGACTGCCTCCTAGCTCTTCATAGAAGGATCTGAACTTGGTTATATCAACCAATACAAATTGATTGACATTGCTGGATGCTGCTAAAAAAACAGCTTTAGTATAGCACAGAACCAGTTTGGTGGGGAAAAAATTAATAAAACCACAAGACCCAGAAAAATCCAGCATCCAACTGTGTAAAAAGTCAGCACTGACTACACTGTCTAGTTTTCCAGTTACTTTCTTATCACTGTGAGAGTCAAGGGAAGAGTTTGCCCTGGGAACAAATTCTGAGGCACCATACCTCAGATGTAAATGGCTGGAGGGGAGGTGTCAGATGGCCTTAGAAGTTGCTGGCCAGACACTGCCCAGAGGACCAGAAATGAAGGCCATTCTCACAGTCTGAAATGAAGAGGCAGAATTGGGGGTTTCTATGGCACATCACAATGAAATTCCAGTGGTGCTGCTGGGTGCATCTTAGGAGAGAGATTTCCTGATGGACAGGGCAGCTTGACTACCCAGACATCAGTCCTGCTGGAACTCCCCACCCTACCAAAAGATCTGCAGTACTTGTCCTCTGAAAGGATCCCTGTTGGAAATACCGGAGGTCTCTTAGCATCATTGGTTGGATTCTTATCCTAAATAACACGTGTTTTTTAAGACCTGATTTTCATATTACACATGAAAATAATAATTTTCTTTTTTAATTTCCTTTTTTCTTGGGAAATTATAATAAATACAATGCATGTGCATGGATGTTCCATTGAAACCAACTAAGGACATTCAATACTTGATGACAGTATGATAAATCTTGTGCAATCTACCTGCATGTATCTCATTACAAATCCCCTTTGACACAAGACTTGTTTGGGTTTTTTGACAAAATCAGCAATAAAAACATGGAGTGGCTGAGAATAACAACAAGATGCATCTGAACAGAATGTTACCTGTACTTTTTCAAATAATCAATGCACTTCACACTTGCCATTTTTCTGAGTTCTCTAAGAGACAGAATGCTCTGTTTCTCTTACCTGGTATTATCAGTTGCCTCTCATCATAGACATTAGAGTTATAGATTTCCACCACACTCTGAGAGGAAAATGTTCCCTAAAAGCCACCAAGAAGACTCTGCTATTTCAAGGCCTTCCCTTAAGTATGTAAGAAAATAACCTTGCCCTAGATTCCTTGGCTCACTGAACTATAAAAAGTCAACTCAGAGTCTGAAAGAACTGCATTTAATATCACCCTCCTTCCATTTAGACTCTGTAATAACACCTTTGCCTTCAAGGTCCCCAAGTCTTTCAACCAAAATGGGAACTGTCTGGCCTCTGGAGGTAAAAAGGGTTTTGGTGCAGGGGCAATTTTCATCAGGTTCTTACTCCAGGGCAAAAGGAGGAGTACAAGGGAGATGAACATGTGTTAGCCCTGTAAGCCAAATCCACTCAAGAGCTGAGGATTCTCAATTTTAAAGCACCTCTTCTTAGAAGAGAGATCAGGCTCAGGGCTATGCTGAACAACCCAAGGAGACAGACATGCAGTATTTTGAAAAAAACTTAATTATGGAACCAGGAGAGAGCAGGAGAGAGGAAAGAAGACTGTAAGTTTCAGTAAGGAATCATATTTCTCTTTTAAAAGAGAGTGCCCAAAAAGGTTTTTGCAGGATTTCGATGAGCAAAATCTGAAATCTCAGTGGAATTTCCTCCAAGCACTTTCTAGCAGGTGTTTGCTCAGAAAGCTGGTCATAAATGAAAAGCTACTAGTTGAAAAGAACTCTGCACAACACTCTAGCATCTCTTGGGGATACCACTGTTGTCTTGCACAGAAAGAATTCTCAAGAGTAACAGCATCCCTGTTCTTCCACAGACTGAAAATATTATTTAAGGATAATAGAACATTTACAACAAAAGGGAAATTATTTACCTCTGCACAAACATAAGAGAATGGAAGACAGATGTCCAAAATATGTGTACAGTCAGGGGAGGAATTAAAACACTTAGGTCTGAAATGTGCCAAAATAGATGAAGAAAAAAAATGACACTAACTGAAAGATGGGGAAGTTGTAACACTTGAACAAAAAATTCGAAAGGTAATGGCAAGGAATGCAATTAATCTTAAATTGGGACACACACTGTTGTCTTTTGTTACAAAAAGTGAAAAGAAATACAAAAATTGCAAAATAATTTACATAAAATTGATTTGAATAAATGGAGCATTATGAAAATAGCTTAAAATGTTAATTGTTACTCTACAGCCAGAAGTATTTACACTTTCTGCATGTGAAGTTACAAATATTTGGAGGATGGAAGCTGAGTGAAAGGCCAACACCTTTCTTGTTTCTGTGATTCTGTGTCAAGATCTTGTCAACAGAAGTTTTCAGGCCACATTAATCACAATTATTGGTGCTCTGAGTTACTTCCAAGGAAATGTTTTCAGTTGGGTAACTTTGCCTCATATTTTATAGATAATGCTTTTTAGTTTAGGAAAAAAAAGTATGAAAAAATCTTATTGATGCAATATTTCACATCTCTGTGTCTGAATCATTAGTCAATTTCTTCAATGTCTCTAAGGGAGAAAAAAAAAACCAAGAAAGCATTTTAGAAAATGCCATAAATTACATGTAGAAACATTTTTGCACATCTTCATCCTGTATTGTTATGGGCTTCTATTGCAATCTGTACTGAAGCAGAAATATGTAGTGTACCGTGCCAAAAAGAAAAATTCCAGCACTTCCATTAAATGGAACATTTATGACTACTACAAACAGTTCATACAAAATTGTAGATTAAACATATTCCTCTTTTATGAGTCAGCTCTGACTTCCTTGTGCTTCAAACTACCTGAGAACTGACCAGAGACAAGCACCCCTGAAGCAGAAGAGCTCTGAAATAGGGTAAGAAAGGAAGGTATGTCTCCTGGCAGCTTTGCTGGTAAGTATAAACAGAGGATTTAGTTCAGTTCAGTTCTCAGTTCTCCATGCCACAGCAAGTGCAGCTTCTGTAAAAAGGCCAAGCAAAAATCATTGAAAGTTTTGTGATCTTCTGTGAGGGCATTCTTACATGTTGTCCAAACAAAAAGAAGATATTGGAGTTTTTCAAGTCTTGCCAGTCACTGTGTGACTACCTTGAGGCAAAAATCAGCACTATTTTTTATACTTTAAACAAAGAGTTAGGTAACTTAAACATCTCCTGTTATTTCTGATTATTTTAAAGCAGGGTCATGTTCAGCAATTTAGGTAAAAAGGGGGAAGAATAACCTGCAGAAGGACAAAGATTTATTCAAAAGGAGCAGCCAGGTAGAAAGAGAGCATATGCAGAGGCTGGAGGATATAGACACTGAAGGAGATGATGATGGCATAGTGATGTTAGAAAAAATATGTGGAATGAGGAACTGTATAAGAGCAAATAGAAAGCTGAGGGAATTCTGGTGAAAAAAAAGGGAAGCAATGGGGTCCAATGCACTGACTGGAAGGCAAAAAAATGGTTTTTGCAGACTAGAAGAGTAGAAGCTTGAAAGAATGAGAGAGGGGAAGAAAAACAAGTCTGCAGGTACCCAAGCCAATTTAAGCTTCCTAAAGGAATCTCCCTTCAGGAAAGACCTCAAAGAGGAATGCTGCTGGACTATTACCTACCAATTGAATGTTTATGCTCTGATGTTACCACACACACAGAACTGCAGCAGAAAAAAGAAAAAAAAAAAAAAAAGCAATGAAAAAATGCTCCTTGTTTTCAGGAAAGTATTTTTACTGAATTTTTGTTCATATTTATTTCTCCAACAAACAATACTTATTAAGACTCTGGAGACTGGAAAGAATTCTTACAGAACTTTTTCATGTCAGGCTGAAGGGATGAATGAAAACTGCAACCACAAGTGCTTTCCTATGTTCCTATGGAGTTTCTTCAAGAGTTGTGCTCTCTCCCGCCTCTTCTCCAGCTCCATAATCCCACAGAGAGAAAGAGTGATGAAATCTCAGGAGGATCCAGATGGCTTAAAACTCTGAATTCCTCAAAGCCTTGTCAGGGTTACCAGGAAAGGGAACATTTGGAGCATGGAACAGCCCTGACAATGAAAGGTACCTACTGCCTCAAAAATGCCAAGGACCAACT